AGGCTAAGGCAGGAGGATCACTTGAGCTCAAGAGTTCCAGTCCAGTCTGGGGAAACATAGCAAAAAAAATCTCGAAAAAGAATTGCATTAGAAAAATATATAAAAACTGGGCTAGAATTCAGTGTGGTTGAAACAGGCTTTACGAATGGGCCCCATTGGGAACTGCCAAGGTGGAAGGAGTTCTAAACCGATGTATATTAGACCATTTTTTCCAAACCTTGAAAATTATTTCCATTAAAGCCTCAGAAAAGAAATTTTTCTCAGTTATAGAAGGGAGACACTGAGGGACAGCTTTTTGGGATATTTTGAGGTTTGACTGTTTTCCTGCTGCTTCCATTGGCTCCACAGAACTCAAGTACTTTGACAGCATCCCTTGAGGAGACAGGCAAAGCATCCATAGAGGTCACAGGCAAAGGCTGTGTTTGAATGCCAAGCAGAGAAGAGGGCTTCAGTCAGAAACAGGAAGCAACAGGAGAGCGAGGTCCTGGGGGCAGACTGTACAAAGCAGAAGCAATTAATCAGTTCTGGTTTTCTTTCCAGCAGCAGTGCCTCCCATGTCTCCTTCTACACCTGCGTACCACCATGTCCTCTACCAAGGATGTGGAGAAACGCAGGTGGGCTGGCATGGGGAGACATACTGCCTGGTTGGTGGCTACCGACTCTATGGAGATGTTCCCTTGGCCACTCCACCAAAGGCCAAAGCAGAAAAGCCAGCAGAGAAGCCAGCCCAGAAGCCAAACCAGAGAGGCAGAGGGGCTCCCAAGAAACGCCGAGCTCCAGCAGAGGCAGAAAAGACCCTGGGCTGCCCCAGGCCCAAAATTCCTGCCAAGAAAGCATTGCCACAGAAGCTGGCTGGCTAAGCCGCTCTGTAGAGAGGACATTTATTTAACTAGGACCCCTAAGGCATGCTTCTTTTTAAATTTTACCCATTTTTTAAAAAAAAATAAAAAATTTATTCTTGCTGTTGTGTTAATTATAAAGTTATTCAAATATACAAAAATTTGAGAGAAGCCCTGGAAATTGTTGTAAATGATTTTCAATGCAGCTAGGGCCTTAGTTTAGCTTGACATAGGAGCTACTGCAGCATATGCTGGTGTCTTCAGAGTTTGGCAGAGACTGCATGTGTATTTAAAACGCATTCTTTATACTCCTTTTCACTGACTGTCACTCTGACTTCTTTGTAAATGTAGTCTTCTCATTCTAACGACATTATCAAAAACAATTTTCTGCCCTCGTGTCCCTCTGCAGCACTAGAAATTGATTCTAGTACTAGAAATTGCTCTATTGTTGACCTACATACACAACCCTCTCTATTTTTCATTTGAAGACAGGGTCTCAGAAGTTGCTCGGGCTGACTTTGAACTTGTGATCCTACTACCTCAGCCTCCCAAGAAACTGGGATTATTGGCATATGCATCTCTCTTCACAATTTTATTATTGCTCTATTTACAATTTTATTGTTGTGTTTATTTTTTTAGTTTTTTTTTATAGACCTTTATTTCATTTTATTTTTATGCAGTGCTGAGAACCCAGTGCCCTACACATACCAGGCAAGTGCTCCACACCTGAGCTATAACCCTAGCCTTCTCTTTACAATTTTCCATATTTCCCATGTTCTACAGAATGCAATGAGTTACTTTAATAATCAGTGTCGTGGGGGAGAGTAGTAGAGGAGGGAATCTTTAAAAATCTGAATAAAGGGGAGAAAAACAAATCCAATAAATTCAGTATACCCACTACATACTAATGATGCTCACAGGATGTGCTCAGAAGGTTTAAGTTCAGTTAACAGTTTAATTTCATGTGTAAGGATGACAGATTCAATCAGAACATTAAATCACTACAGACTTCCAGGGTTGGTCGTGCTTGCCTATACTCCCAGCAGCTTGGGAGGGGAAGCCAGGAAGATCACAAGTTCAAAGCCGGCCTCTGCAACTTGGTGAGATTCTGTCTCAGAATAAAAAATAAAAAGGGCTGAAAAATGTGGCTCAGGGTTCAATTCCGGGGTTCAATCCCTGCTAATAATAAAAAAAATCACTACATACTGGCCATGTTGGGCCTACATTTTGAGAATTGGTAGGATGAAGGAGCCACTAGCTCTACATTTGAGATACAAAACTTAGAGGGCTCAGGATACAAACCTTACAGGCCATAGATGCAAACCTTAGAGGCCTTAAGGAAACCCAGGTACTCACCCAGTTCCATCTGTCCTTCACACACACACAATCCAGCCCCTCCTTATGGAATCACAGGGTCTAAAATTCAAACTCATTGCCCTCTCCACAGCAATTTTCCACAATGAAATTTCTTCTTTTTTTTAATACATCATATATTCAAAATAAAAGAGGATCAAAAGATAAAAGAGTAAAGATTCCTTCTGATTAAGGAATGGAAGACTTTCAATCTCTATTTTTTTTTTCCTTTTTTGGGTTCTAGGGTGCTTTACCACACCCCTCATCTCTTTTTTCTTTTTTTAAATATTTTTTTAGTTGTAGTTGGACACAATACTTTTATTTCACATATTTTATTTATTTTTTAGTTGTAGTTGGACATAATACCTTTTATTTATTTTCATGTGGTGCTGAGGATCAAATCCAGGATCCTACACATGCAAGGCGAGCTCTCTACCGCTGAGCCACAACCCCAGGCCCCTCCCCTTTTTTATTAAATATTTAGTTTTTAGTTGTAGTTGGACACAATATTTATTTATTTTTACGAGGTGCTGAGGATTGAACCAAAGGCCTCGCCATGTGCTAGGTGAACACTCTACTGCTGAGCCACAACTCCAGCCCCCTCAGTTCTTTTTGTGACAGGGTCTCCCTAAGTTGCTGAGGTTGGCCTCAAAATTGAGATCTTCCTGCTTAGCTTCTGGAGTCACAGGAATGACAGGCGTGTACCTCTATGTCCAGCTCAGTCTATACTTTTTATTTGGCATCGCTTTTTGAACCAGAAGGACAGAGCAGATAGGTAGCAGTCATGTGCCATTACAGCATACTGGTTGAAATCTATTCTGACTGGCTAGTGTCAGTTACTAATTATTTTAAATAGCTCCCCAAGATTGTAAATTTACTACCTACATAGTACCAAATAAAACTCAACTTTCCGTTCCCAGTGGAAACCAATGTCTCTAGTTTCTTCTTTATCTTTCCAAGTAATTCTGTAATAAAAAAGTCAAAATACATAATATTCATTCCGATTTTCCTAAAGTATACAATAGTATGCTGTGTGACATTCTGCTCATTGCTCTTTTCACTACATCAAGGAGATCATTCTAAATCATTTCAACTCTGCTCCTTACATAACTCAGGAACACACAGACATAATGAGAGAAAACAGAGTGATAAGTTTTCAACTCCTAACAGGCACTTTCAACTTTCTGAAATTCTCTGAAGCTACTGTCCACAGGGCCCTCGAGTATCTTAAGCAGGTAAGGCAGATATTCTGAAGCCTCCTGACACCTAAAGCATTGGTGTCAGGCTGGGTGACTCCTCAGAGCATGGTGGCTGACTCTGGACAGTGGGCCATCACTACTATGTCTACACTGTCGACCTTCTGCTCACCCTGAAACAAGGTTCCAGTGACATCACTGTAGGAGTCCCTCTGATGCCTTACACTCAGCAATCACAACCTGCTTTTATTATCTGCTCCAAACCTGTCCTTTCTTCAGTTCCTGACCACAGATAAAGAACAAGAATCCTGCTTCCTGGCTGCCAGTCTTTCTTCCCTAAACCCCAACCTCTTATCCCACTATCCCACACCTAAACTAACAATTTGCTAGCCAAGTCCAAGTATCCCAACTGCTACCTTTTGCAATTCTAATCCTCCAGTAACTTCTCTGCTCATAAAAAAAAAAAAAGGCCAAAGATACCCGAAGTCCAAGTCCAGCTGATCTGATCCCAACTAAAGTTTGTGATCCTATGCTCTTTTGCTTCCTCTTCATCTCCCATTCCCCAGTCCTCTGATGAAAATGAGCCATTCACAGTTCTGTCTTCACTACCTAGGGGCCTCCATGCTCCTGCACATGGAAATCTTTTCATACTGTCTATATCTCTTCCTCAAGGACCACATTTCCTCATCAGAAACAAGTTTAAGGGCTCCCTTCTACTCTGTTCTCAGGCTTACCATAGCCTTCTGATCTGATCTCTTTTTTTTTTTTTTTTTTTAAGATAGAGTGAGAGAGAGGAGAGAGAATTTTTAATATTTATTTTTTTTTTAGTTCTCGGTGGACACAACATCTTTGTTGGTATGTGGTACTGAGGATTGAACCCGGGCCGCACGCATGCCAGGCGAGCGCGCTACCGCTTGAGCCACATCCCCAGCCCCCTGATCTGATCTCTTATGATGCGACATTTATACTACATCCTGTATAATCTTTTTTTTTAAAGAGAGAGACAGAGACAGAGAGACAGAGAGAGAATTTTTTTTTAATATTTATTTTTTAGTTTTCGGCGGACTCAACATCTCTGTTTGAATTTGGTGCTGAGGATTGAACCGGGGCCACATGCATGCCAGGCGAGCGCACTATTGCTTGAGCCACATCCCCAGCCCCTCTATAATCTTATATGTATGTCTCAGTATTATTCATGACAAGACAAAGCCCTGTTCATATTGTTTTTTCTTTGCTTTTTTTTTTCTTTAAACAGTACCTGAGGTTGACCCCGGGGCCTTGTACATGCTAGGCAAGTGCTCTACCACTGAGCTGCATCCCCAGTTCTTTTATTGTTTTATTTTGAGACAGGTCCTCCTAAGTTGCCTGGGATGGCTTCATATTTGCAATCCTCCTGCCTCAGCCTCCCAAATAACTGGGATTACAGGCATGGATCACCATGCCTGGCCCTGTTCCAGTTGTGCCCATTGATCCACTGACAGATTTTCAAGCATTTTCCCCATCCAGCTCAGGATCTATTCCAGAACTTGGTACTGTACCTAGCCATCATGTCTTGTTAGCTTCCTTTAATCTCCATAGGATACTTCTGAGAAATATAAAGAAATCAATTTACCTTGGTGGAATATTCTTTTGGACAGCCCACGTTGATGTCAATACCACCTACATTATTTTATCTGGAAAAACATGAAAGAAAAAAGGCAATGATCATTCAAACTGAAAGAAGATGGTAGACTCAAAAGCATGCGTGGGTCAGTGCTCATGAACCTCTCACTGTGTCTCTGAGCATGAAACACACCACCCTCCATGACAGACCTCATCTGAGCAGAGTTCCAGAGGAAAAACAAAGTGTCTACACATCTGAAAAGAGCTAGGTATTGAGGACTCTGCTACACCTGAGTTGCATCAGATAGCTCAAATACTAAGTAACATTCATACTCAATTCAATTCCAGGTCACCATTTCTCACTGGGGTAATGAAAGCCATTTGTCAAGGCAGAGAAGTGACACAAGCACAAGAGCCCTTTGCCAGAGTAACAATTCTGGCAGAAGTTACAACGGACTGCCTTCATTTGCTGGGTGACATGGGTAGCTTACTCCAAACAATTCTCAGATGCTGAAAGGACCCTGACCTTATTCTCTGGTTTGTACAGTTAATAGTCTGTGATCAACAACAATTACTACCTGAGTCTCTTCTTGCTATCACTCTCATCAATAACAAAAGCTAACATTTACTAAGTACTTCCAATGTGTGACAAGCTCCATATAACATGCCTTATTTCATTTGTCCTGCCCTGTAGCAGAAGTTTGTATCATTTCACAGAGAAAGGAACTAAGTTATTAGCAAGGTTAAGTAACTTCTTAAGGTCACACAATCAGTAGCAAACCCAGAATTCCAACTCAGGTCCACCTAAACTCTAAAACCCACTCTTGAAGAAGGTACTCTGCTGCCTTTGTTAACTCAAGAAGTGACAGGCCTTACCTACACTGAGAGTTAAAGCTTCAAGACTCACAGTCAGAAGTATTCCCAGAAAGGGAATCCCATGAATAAACATTAAAATTGGGCCTCCACATGAGGATCTCTGCAGTCTGGAACAGTGGGTACATTTGAATCCCAGGACAGTTTTGAGATGTCATAAACAGGAAAGGAAATCACCCTCAGCTAAAAATAGCAATGTGCCAGGAGACATAAGCGTGGTCACCTTCAAAGTCACCAGTGACATTAGAATCTCTTAACTCACAGGAGAGACAAAGGAAGCTCAAGAGGGAGAAACTTACATAAGCCTGGCCACAGCAAGGGGTCACTATGCATCTGAGGTTCCCTAGAAACACAAAAGGCTTCATTAACCAATGCCCTGATAAAGGCAGAAGTGCATGACAAACACATCCAACCCCTTCCCCCACACACAACATGTTCATGCCAATAAGCAGAATGAGTCAGTTTTCTCCCAAAAAGCCAGCCTAAAAAATTAGCCACTGGTAAAAAAAAATGATGGACTTGGAAAACCTAAACAATGTCATTAATGCAGTTACTTTCCAACATACAAAAACATGAAGATAATCTTTTTTTTAGTATTTATTTTTTAGTTGTAGTTGGACACAATACCTTTATTTATTTTTGTTTATGTGGTGCTAAGAATGAAACGTGCTAGGCGAGCCCTCTACTGCTGAGCCACAACCCCAGCCCTATGAAAATACAGAGAACATTCAGATACTCACAACTTGGGAGTCTATAATTATATATACTTGATTACATGTCTACCCATTGCATTTAGCTTTTTAAAACCTAAATATCTTCAGGAGCTATTTCTAAAAAAGCACCAAGAAATGTCCAGAGCAAGACAAGAGAGCTATATAGTTCTTACAATTCTAACTACCTAGGTGCAGTGGTTTACACCTGTAATCCCAGGGGCTCAGAAGTCTGAGGAAGAAAGATCACAACTTTGAAACCAGCCTCAGCAATTTAACGAAGCTCAAAGCAACTTAGTAAGACCCTGTCTCAAAAGGGGTTTAATGTCTTGAGTTCAATTCCTGCTACCAAAAAACCCCCAAATTTAATTGCTCTTGAAGAAATCTAATCCATTTGATAGGAAATAAATACAGATGACACAAAATCAAACACCATGACATCAATAATCAATGAAAAATAAATATAGAAGTCATGCTGCCAAAACAAAAGATTCCTATTTTTTTTTTTTTTCAGTTTTTGGGGAACACAACATCTTTGTTTGTATGTGGTGCTGAGGATCGAACCCCGGCCACACGCATGCTAGGCGAGCACACTACCGCTTGAGCCACATCCCCAGTCCCACAAAAGATTCCTATAATTAAATAAATTAAATCTGAGACTTGCAGACATGTAACAAACTGTGACAGCTTGATTTCCATAATCTGTCTCCAATACTGTAAGCATTTAGGAATGACCCTTTGAAAAATGGTCAAGTCTTCAGGAAGTCCCTGCTGTGCAAAGTAGCTCAGGCACTCAATAGTGGCCAGCACAGGACCCAAGTAATGAAATCCAGGAGACAGGAAGACTCAGGAGGACACTTGACATTAGGATCTCATAAACATCTGGAAGACCACCCTGCTCTGTTCTCTTTCACCAGTGCGGAAGATGACTCAGTCATCAGGGGCCACAAAATCCACTGTTCTAAGCACCTCTGCAAGAAAACAAACACATGGGATGCAAGTTCAGACTAGCCTAAGCCCTGGCAGTGAACACGGCCAAGTATAACCTTGAAACGAAAAAAGGGATCATAGATGATTCCTACAAAACAAGTATGCACTGGGAGGCATCTAAGGTGCTGATGATGGTCCATCTCACGACACAGGTAATGGGTGATTACTTTATAATTATTTGTTAAACTGCATGTTTGGGTTTTATGCACTTTTTCTGCATGATTACTAGCACTTTACAATTTTTTGAAATACTGGAAAGAAGGTACATACATTGAACTTTGTGTTTCAATACTGGTCCAAACTTTCCTGGAAGGTTATCCTTTGAGGTGCAGCAAGTGATCATTTCATTTGAAAAGAAATTTTTAATTTGTTCTAATTAGTTACACATGACAAGCAAATGATCATTTCTTAATTACTTAGAGTGAGTCAGAAAACTGGAGTGGATCAGTCAATCTTCACTATTATTTACAGTTACATATTTTTAAATGTATCTATTCAGTAAAATTGATTTATAACCCTAAATCAATACATGTGGTGTTTCTAGTCATTCAGGGACAGATGCTAAGACAACAAATTGGAGTCACCTGTCATACACATCTCCAGCTGAGTTCAAACACGGTGTCACTTGTCTTCTTGTTTTGGCTCTGATACTGTAAAAATATGCCCTTTTATGGCATATTTTGCCCTTCATTTTTTGTATTTTTGTGCTTTTTGTTAGTGATCTCACTGTTTAAAATGGGTCCAAGCATAGTGCTGAAGTTCTGTCCAGTACTCTTAAGCATGAGAATCTTGTGTTAGATAAGCCTGGGTTAGGCATGACAATACAGTGCTATTGGCTCTAGAGTTCAAGATTAAGGAATCAATAGTATATTGGGTGGAGCTGCCAGTTTGGCTCTGTGGTAGACTACATGCTTAGCATGTACAAGGCCTGGGTTTGATCCCTAGCTTCTACTAAACAAATAGTCTCTGAATAGAAACCCACATAAAATGAGTTTAAGGGCTGGGGAGGTGGCTCAAGCGGTAGCGCGCTCGCCTGGCATGCGTGCGGCCTGGGTTCCATCCTCAGCACCACATACAAACAAAGATGTTGTGTCTGCCGAAAACTAAGAAATAAATATTAAAAAATAAATAAATAAAAATAAAATGAGTTTAAGTGGTGATCAGTTGATGAAAATGTGTCCAGAGGCTAGCAAATTTCTAATCTTGTATATCCCCAAGGGTCACTTGGTTCAGTAGTGATTTTAGTGTTCTCAGCAACTTACTTGAACATTAACAAAAATCAACTATATCTCATCTCTCCTTATTGATGAAGCTCTACAATAGCTATTGTGGGCCAGGCTATATGGGCAATGACTAAACAGACTCCATTTTACTCTGAGACTCCATGTCACGTTGAAAAATGCTTCTTCCTGGGAAAGCCCTGCCTCTGTCCCCATCAACTGTTGCTTAGCATAGCATGCTTGGCAACACAAAATGGCAATTCATATACAATGTAAAATCGTTCTTTCTTTGGTTCCCATTTTTCTCGGACAATATACCCTGTCAGAGATTGATTGTCTAGACCTTAGTAACCATTCTTTAACTTGTAGTCACCTAAGGTCATTTTGATCCATTCCCCCACTTCTGCTTCTGATTTTAAATCTAATGACGTTTGTTTATGGTTTTGAATCATAGCAACAGCCACTTATAATTAATATGGTTTTGAACTCTAAAAGGTGAACTCAAACCCCAAGAAAGGTACAAAGGGTATAGACTCGCAGCCCACCCCTTAGCCCACCAGCTGCTGATATGGACCACCTGGTGGTGAATAAAGATGGTTCTGGGACTAGGGTTGTGGCTCAGCGGTAGAGCACTCGCCTAGCATGTGTGAGGCCCTGGGTTCGATCCTCAGCACCACATAAAAATAAATAAACAAAATAAAGATACTGTGCTCAACTACTAAAAAAATTTAAAAAAAGATGGTTCCATCTCCTGCTTTAAGATTAACTCAGTGATTTACTGCAATCTCGCCATAACACTACCACATTAACTTTCAAAAATGACTACTATAATACAAAGAGACAATGAGGTAAATGAGAAAATAAGCCTATCTTGAAGGCTGTTTTGAGAACTAAGACCTTTAAAGCACGTAAAGCATTTCTATAAAGGGAATATGTAATTATCATCCGAGCACTGGACAGATTAGATGCCTAAAAAGACATGTTGGGAGAAGTAATCGGTGTCTAGCTCAACCCTGGCAGAAAGAACTGAGAGAACCACGAAAACTTGGATGTAACTATAATGAAGTTTACTGATAACAGCAAAATACTGACACCCCAGTAAAGGCACTAGAGAAACCAATTCTAATGTATCTGACTTGCAAAAATGTCCTAGTAGAAAAGTAAATGGCAAAACAATATGTATAACAGGATTCCATGGGAGGGAGGTATAGATATAAACAGGTCACATATTTATATATTATACATTATTCATAAGATATGTGAAAAAATCCATATTATTCCCCATTATGCTTAGTTTTAGGGGACAGTACTGGGGATTTTACCCAGGAGAAATTTACCATGGAGCTACATCCCAGCCCTTTTTATTTTGAGAGAAGGTCTTGCTGAGTTGCTGAGGCTGGCCTCAAGCTTGCAATCGTCCTGCCTCATAATCCTAAATTGCTGGAATTACAGGGATACGCCACTGCATCCAGCTTAATTTTTTTAAAAAAAATTTATTTAAATATTTATATATGAAAACTATCTTTATTCTTATATGGTGCTGAGGATTGAACCCAGTGCCTCACACATGCTAGGCAAGTGCTCTACCACTGAGGCACAACCCCAGCCCCTGATTAACTTTTTTAAGTGTGAGATTATGAAGGATTTTCATTTTCTAGGTTATACAGATCTGTAATATGTTAGCTAGGCTGCCCTTAATGCCTCTCAGGGCCTGTTGAACTGCTTGTGGCTTTGAAAGATGAGCTATTGGCTATCATTGGAGCAGTGGAACAGTGAGACCATAGTCGCATAGTCTTTCACATAACACAGGAAGAATAAAATAATGTTTTTCTCTTAAGACTTTTAATTCATATCAAAGAAATATACACAGACAAATGTCCATCAAACAGAACATCCCCAGCCCTATTTTGTATTTATTTTATTTAGAGATAGGGTCTCAATGAGTTGCACTCCGCCTCATTTTTCCGGAGGCTGGCTATGAATTTATAATTCTCCTGCTTCAGCCTCTGGAGCTGCTGAGATTACAGGCATGTCCCTGGCACCATGCACACCTTTTAATTTTTTATTTTGAAAAAGTCTCACTAAATCGTTGAGGCTGACCTCAAACTTGTGGTCCTCCTGCTTAAGCCTCCTGAGTTGCTGGGATTACGGGGCTACATGACCACATGGGTTGTTTGCCTTTTTTAAAGAAAGGAGACTGAAATGATAATACGGTAATTTTGCCATAATCACATATCAAATTTTATGTTAAAATAGATCTATCATTCCTACTTTGTAACAAAGTCACTGGAGACGTCTCCTGTTGCCTTGGAGCACCTATAACAACCATTGCTGTGTCCATCACACTGAAATGTGACAAGTTTGTCCTATCGGCTATAAATCTGGAACCTCAACATGAACAACCCTATTGTTGAGCAGAACACCTCTGTATTACCTGTGTGACCTTGTGTAGGCCCCTTAGCCTCTTTTTTGAGATCTCACTTGTAAGAAGGTCATGGTGCATTTCTCTGGGTGTGTGTTCAGAAAGATGTGTGTATTGCTCAGGATCAAAGGAACGGCCGGCCACACATCTCCAATGCATCAAAGGATAAATCTTTGGAGCAGAATGAGATTAAAAGGACCCGGTCTTTGCTTTTTTTCCCAATGTGAATGTTTTTCCACATGTCCAAATTTTCTTTCTTTTTTTTTTTTTCTGATACTGGGGATTGATCTCAGAGGCATCAACCAAGTGTGGCATAACCCCAGCACTTTCTTCCTATTTTATTTAGAGGCAGGGTCTCAGTGAGTTGCTCAGGGACTTGCTAAATTGATGAGGCTGGCTTTGAACTCAAAAATTTCCTGCCTCAGCCTCCCAAGCCATTGGAATTACAGGAATGGGTTACTGCGCCCAACCCAAATCTTATGTTCAGGCTCACATCCAAGGAGCATTCCCTGACCCCCTAATGTACTCAAATCTCTGCCTCTCCAACAGGAAAATACTTAGTATCAGGGTCATGCAACCTAGCTGTCTATGTTAATCATGACTGTCAGGCCAGTTTCAGAATCTGGGTTTCGCTTGCCCCTCTGTGGTCTGGGCTGTGCTCCACAGAGAGTGGCTATCTGACTATGGGGGGAGAAGCTAGAGGGGGTGTGCAAGCAGAGATCTCTCCTTTCTCCCGGCTTTCCATAACATACCAAGAATCGTCACCTACCCCTCAAGTCACACATTCCTTCTGTGACCTGAGTAGTGATGACATCACAGCCTCAGTCTCCATGGCAGGTTAACGCTAGGAATCTTCTCTACCAGTTCTCTACAAGACACCAAAGTGTCTGGTTGATGGAGAAAGAATGTCTGACCAGATATTCTATATTCAGTCTAACTTGTCCTCTATCTCCTGGGAGAGCAGTACAGCAGGTAGGCCTAGGCCAGGTATCTGTAATGGAGCCCTTAGTAAACACACAATCTCACTGGACTGCCACACATTACTTTTGGGTTTCCCCATCACACCTCAGAACTTCCCTAGCTATGAGTAAGACCAAAGGTCTGGTGCTCCTACAAGGACCCACAGTGTTTCTGCTCACTGCTGAGGGCAAGTGTTCAGAAAGGTGCTAATCTTTATCAATCTAGCCTTCCCCTTTAGCCTCCCCCAGTGCTTCCTTCAGAGCACAGCACACTGGTACACACCTATAGTCCCAGCTGCTTGGGTGGCTGAGAGGTGAAAAACCCAGGAGCTGGGCTCAAGGATGTTGGTAGAGAACATAGTGAATGAAATCTGGGAAACAGGGTAAGAGCACTCATCACCATAACGAAAGGGGGCTTCTTTATCAGATCCTTTTTAATAAGAATCCTACAGGAGCCTAATATGCTTTTGTTTTCAAGTGATAAGAGACAGCTATTGGCCTCTCATGGAATCTCACCTTCACACCTAGACACCTTTATCATACTGTCATAGATACACTCACATGGACCCCCTCACACACATCCCAGTCTGAACTGCTGAGGAAAAGGGTGGTGTCATGCAGTTGGGAAGAACAGAAGGGCCAGTCTCAGTGTTACCAAATCTGGAGGTCTGAGGAAATGATGTCTCAGGAAGTGGATGTGAGAAGGCTACTGGACCTAAACTTGGTACCCAGAATTTGGATCTCAATCTCTTAATCCCTCTGTCTGAGTATATGACCTTCAGAAAATGGTAGACTTGGGCACAGGTGACAATTATAGTCCAGCTACTCAGGAGGCTTAAGGATCACTTAAGCTTAAGAGTTTCAGGCCTATCTGAGGAAACACAGCAAAACACCATCTTAACAAAACAAAAAAGGTATTAGAAAAATCTATAAAAACTGAGGTAAAAAACAAGCTGTATGATGGGGCCCCAAAAGGAACTGCCAAGGTGGGAGGGGTTCTAAACCAATTTATATTAGACCATTTTTTCCAAACCTTGAAAATAATTTTCATTAAGCCTCGAAATGACAGACTTTAAGAATTTTTTTTAATCAGTTGTAGAAGGGAGAAACCGAGAGGGTGCTGCTTGTGGTAATTTTGAGGTTTCACTGTTCTCTCTCGGATTAGAGAAGAGAAACCCTGTTCTCCTGCAGCTTCCGTTGGCTCCACAGAACTCAAGTACTTTGACAGCATCCCTTGAGGAGACAGGCAAAGCATCCATAGAGGTCACAGGCAAAGGCTGTGTTTGAATGCCAAGCAGAGAAGAGGGCTTCAGTCAGAAACAGGAAGCAACAGGAGAGCGAGGTCCTGGGGGCAGAGTGTATAAAGCAGAAGGAATTAATCAGTTCTGGTTTTCTTTCCAGCAGCAGTGCCTCCCATGTCTCCTTCTACACTTGCATACTACCATGTCCTCTACCAAGGATGTGGAGAAACCCAGGTGGGCTGGCATGGGGAGACATACTGCCTGGTTGGTGGCTACCAGCTCTATGGAGATGCTCCCTTGGCCACTCCACCAAAGGCCAAAGCAGAGAGGCCAGCAGAGAAGCCAAAGAGAAGCCAAAGCAGAGAGGCCAGCAGAGAAGCCAAAGAGAAGCCAAAGCAGAGAGCCAAAGGGGCTCCAAAGAAACACTGTGCTCCAGCAGAGGTGGAAAAGGCTCTGGGTTTCCCTAGCCCCCAAATTCATGGCTTCAAGCACACTGGCAAGACCCCATTCCCACAGAGGCTTGCAGGCTGAGCCTCTCTATAGAGGACAAATATTTCAATTTCCAGGTCAGCTAATGAAACTTCTTTTTTATTTTTAAGCTAAAATTCCTGTTTTTTAGAGAAATAAAAATTTTATCGTTGCTGTGTGTTACATATAAAGTTATTCCAATACACAAAAATTTAAGATATGGACTGCAGAAGATTTGAAATGAATTTCAGTGGTGTCACAGCTAGGGCCGTGGTTTAGCTTGTCATGAGGAACTACAGCAGCTTAAGCTGGTGTCTTCACAGCTTGGCAGAGACTTAGCAGTATTTAAAAGCCATCCTTTATACTCCTTCTTTTCAATGGCTATCACGCTGACTTCTTTGAAAACAGTCTTCTCATTCTAAAGGGCTTTTCTTCATCCATTAGCTCATGACTGCTAGTTGGTTGACGCCATATGATGCTTTACATTTAATCCTTGAAAGGAGGGAAATACCAGGTGGAATGCCTCCAGGACGTCACACACAAGCCTTGAAGACCCTGCATGTAGCAGAGCACACTGGAGCCTGGCAGGCCTCACTCCAGCATCTATAATACCTTTTGTCATGGTATGGGTATTCAAATCTATTTTCCCTTATAAAGGTTAACTATATCAATATGAATAATCCAAATTAGGTAGCTTTTACTACATATGTTCAGCTAATGCATCTTCTGAAGTGATCTCCACTGCCCCTACTAGAGACAGTACCTCAGTCAATCTGCATGAGCCTTTCACAGCCAGGGGTCCCCTTCCATGTCAACTGGCCACAGGCAAGAAACCTCAGAACATGGGTTTTGAAAGGAGAGGCTCCTTTGAACATGCCAGGGCTGAAGCTAACCTTGAAGAAGACCTGCCATTTCTCTGCTCAATCCTCTGAAGTCTCTCCTTGGTCAGAAGAGAGAACACTCGACACTCTCCAAGGGGAGGAGGAGTCAAGTGTAGAGGGTTGGGGGGCATAGTGGCCCACTGGTGCCCTATCTACCAAATAGGTCCAGCTCTGACTTATTGCCAGAAACATCAGCACAAACCATCAGGTAGGCTTCCTGAAACTAGTGCCTGTGCTCTCAGCGAGCACAGTAGCTACCTGGAACAGGAAGGGTTGGGGAAAGGCAGTAGCGCCACTCTGAGCCTCACATGCTCCTTTATCCCAACCCATTATGGCCACAAGACACCCCCTACTCCTCAATAATTTTTTCTGTAATAGTGTTTGACTTGAAATTCAGGTTGTTCAAGGTCAAGCTTCAAACCATAATATCCCCTTTAAGTATGTTCCTACATGGAGGACTTGGTTTTCTAAGGTCTTCTGTCTTCACAAGGGACTCTCGGGTACGGTTTCCAACTGGTAACATCTGCAATGATGCCTAGGTGAACTGGATCAGAAACCAGGTCAGTTCATCAAGAAATGAGAGCCTTGGGCTGAGGATGTAGCTCTGTGGTAGAGCACGAGCTGTAGCATGCATGAGGCTAATGGGGTTCCATTCCCAGAGCCAAAAAAAAAAACCAAAAAACTGATGAGTGCTTCTGTGTGTAGGTGGTGTATGTGAGTGAGGGAGGGGCAGGAATGAGAAGATACAGGTCCATCTTTTACATCCACCCATCTGGCTATTCCATCATTCAACAAGTGTTTATTGAGAACCTGTTATATCGCAGGCACTGTGCTAGCTGCTTGGAACATATTACTGAGTGAGGTGATCCAAGTCTCTTTCATCGAGACCCCCCATCAACAAAGAATGAGAGACAATTTCAGAGACTTGGTTGTAGCTCAGTGATAGAGTGCTTTCCTAGTGTGGGCACAGTCCTGCATTTCATCCCCAACACTAAAAAAAAAAAAAATTAATTAAAATTACAATAAAGGAAAATGAAAGCATAGAGTGATGAGGAATACTACATTATACAAAAAAGTCACAGAAAGACCCTTTAAAGTAAGGGCATTTCATCAAGGAAGGAAGCAAGAGACTGATATGAGGACTGAAGAGAGAACATTCCTAGATCAAAGAGCACAGGAAAAGATCCTGAGGTAGAAATGAGACTGAACTACCTAAAAAGCAGGAGAAAGACTAATGTGACCAGGAAGGCTAATATTCTCCAAATATAATTGGAGAAGTACGTGAGAGTGAGACCCCAGTGGGCCACATCAGCAATATGAGGAGTATGGATCTTGTTTTAGATGTCAAGGGGGAAGGGGGAAGTCATAGGATAGATTTGAACAGGGTAGTGAAGAAATTTGATGCAGATGCCAAAAAGATCACTCCGGCTGTGTGAGCCTTGGCAGTAAGGTGCTGGCTGTTACCAGTGGAATGCCTATCTCAGCAGTTAAGGAGACAGTTGGTGCTGGGGAATGGGGGTTGGGAGCAGTCAGAGAAGGAACAGTACAAGGTTTGGCCAGTGTCATATCAGCGGCCCATAATTCACAGGGTGGCCTGAGCAACAAAGCAAGACTGTCTCCAAACAAATTAATAAAATTTCTAACAAATACTAGTTCGTAAGAAAAACAAAGAGTAGAGGAACATGTTCAATGACACCATGGGATGCAATCAGCAAACTCAAAAACAGAAAAAGTCCTAAGGACAAGAACATGATGTTTTTTCAACAAATAAATTGCAAGGAAGATAAAAGAAGGAAGAGAAACCTAAAGATTGAGCTGAAAGGTTAATAAAAAAAAGTACTTGTCACTCCGTTTCTCTATATGCTTAACAAAACACTGTTGAAATCTTAAGAACTGTTTGCTAATCTTGTTCCCAGAATGTGCTGTCCCCAACTATGGACTGTCTGCTAATCTTGTTCCCAGAGCCATAACATACATGTAAAATAGTTATTATGATTCAAATACAATTTATTATTTAAAAATTGGACAAGCAAGGAAATTTCAACATGATAATTTATAATAACAGAAGTGTTATTAACATTTTTAGAGTCATAATGGTATGGCAGTGGGGGATTTTTGTTGTTGTTGCTAATATTTTGTTGTTCCTTTGTTCTGGTACTGGGCATAGAACGCAGGAGCTTGTGCATGCTACAGACGCACTCTACCACTTCTACTACTGAGTTACACTCCAAGCCCTTCTCTCTACTTTTTCTTTTTTTTTTTAATCTATGTTTGACTTTTTCTCTTAAAAAAAAAAAAAAAGATAGTTTCTCAAGTACAGTTTAATGTTCAGTCAGACTTGCAATCAGTGTGGGCTCAGATGGTGGCTTTGCAGTATCAGCCAGCTTGTGGCAGCCGCGGATGGGAAGGAGGGGTGCAGTGTGCCAAAGAACCAAGTGCTCTTACAGAAGAAGCTGACAACCTCACACATGAGCTGACCACACTGAACAAAGACATGTAACGTCTGAACTTGGAGGTTAAATGTCAAATCGTACGTGCTGTGTAGATGTTTCTTTGGTCAG